CGTCGCTTCTGTTCTGATGGTTCCACGCCTGTCATTCCATCCCGGAGTCATTTTGTCAGCCCGTCCGCCCCATCCTCCCACTCGTTGTCGTCCTTCCTGATCCTTGATGGCAGCATAATTGATGCACTCGAGCGTAAGTGATTAGATTCATTATGATGCCTGGCAGGCAATGGCAACGGATCTTATTCGGGGCGATGGGAGAGAAGAGGGTATCAGGTGTCCAACGGCGAATTGAAATGTTTGAAAATTTTTAAAAAATTTATTATAACCGATTTAAAGCCCTGGAAAACTAGGGACTGCCCGCTGCTGCTAAATGATGTGTGACAATATTTTTATTGCCCGCTCTCTCTCTCTCGTTTACGACTGAGGGTCGTGCGGAATGGTAGGGGTAAAAGCCAACGTGCGCCAACATTAATCAAGGCATTCTAAAGATTCAGATATACACATTTATGAGTAAATTCATGCATTTTGAGGGTAAAACACAAAAAACGAAGGCAACAACAAAGAGCGGCACACGCCGGGCGACAAAAGCATTTGCTTCCGGTATGCCGCCTGTCACTGCGACTTCTACACTCAGCCAAAAAATAATGTCCTCAAAATAATATTTCAAATTAATCAAGATTCCGAAAACATGGTTTAATAAATAAAATTTACTTAAATAAATATTTTTTGTAATGAAATTTTTTTTTATTTATAGAGTGAATCTCTTAGGATTCTTTTATAATTTTTTTTGAGTGTTCTAAGGGGTAGGGGCAAGTGGGCGGTGGGTGGTCCTGTGGTAGGTAGAGTGCCTGTGCATTCTAGCTTGAAATAAAGTTGCACTGACTGACGCTTTTCGCCTTTTGTATTCCGCTCTTATTGTTGTGCGGCAAGCGAAGAGAAAAATGTATTTCGAATGAATAAATATATTCTTTCTATGACCCTAATGGATTTCGTTGTTGTTGTGCGACTGACAAAGAGTTGAGTCCTAAATGGAGGCATATGCTAATTATAAAGGGTAGATCTATCCTGGGGTAATAAAAGAAACTATAAATATAAGTGGTATATCATTTCTTTTAAGGGAAAAATATTTATGAGATAAAATTAAATAAGTGAGTTAAAGAAATTATAAACATATAAAAAAATTTATTTTTATAGTTACAGGATTATTCAGAATTATTAAAAAATCGCTTAAATATATAAGTTTTACGGATTCCGCAGGACTGCTTCGATTAAAGTAAAATCTCCCATGAAACAGACATCTCTTACACCCCCGTCTCATCGCTTTCCCCGGAGTTTCCTTCATATCTCTGACGCTTCCAGCTATTTGCACACAAACAAAAATAAATATTAAATCTCAGAAATCGTTTTTGGGCAGAGACACTCACCCTTAACCCTCGACCTGCGAACTCCCCTCATTCCCAAGGATTCGGTTTATTACTCTTACTATCCTATGTTCTATATGTGGCACGCTTATCGACGAGCACAGCGTTTAGTTTTGTGATTGAGTGGGTGGACATGTGGATTGACAGCATGAGTCTGCTGAATCCACAGAAGCTCATCAATTTTCCGCCTTCAATTTCCCGCTGAACCTGTGGGAAAACCGCTGCCTTACTTTTGTGGATTCAGTGTGGAAATTCAACCGCTTTTAAAGTCGTCAAAGTTTTTCGACTGGTAATTAAAACCGCGTGAAACCCTTTACTGACGGTAATCCGCAGATACTCCCCTGCCATAACTCACTCATAAATCAGACAACGAAAAGCCATACATCATAGACACCGTGGGGAATCCTCCAACCGAACAAAAAAATATATACACAGAGATGACAAAGCTGCAAAAGTTATTTTGTAATTAGTGCAAAAGGCAAAGACAACGGGAGACCGCTTCGAGGACACGGGGCACAACAAGCCCAACAGGATAATGATGATTACGCTGGCGCAATGAAATTGAAGACGACTTTCTGCCGAAGCTGCACTAATTACCGCTGACGCGCGATGGGAACGATGGGAAGCCAGGACGGATTTCTCCAATCCCAGTATGAAACTCCGGCCGGGGGACTGTCAACTCAAGTTTGACACTTTTTTGCTGACAATTTATGAGAGCGGACCAACAGCTATGGGTTGTGATTGGGGAACAGTGGTTGTTAAATAACAATTAAGTATTAAAAACTATTATTGGTATTTATAAAATTTTGTAAAAGTTTTTTCTGTAATTTATAAATAAATGATTATAAATAATTTAAATTAAAAACGAAAATATACCCGTAGAATATAGTCAATGAGCGTTGTTCTATACTGTACGTAAGCGGCAGAGGGTTGGCAACACAATTCCCTATGCTCAAAGTAACCAGATATTTATCTTATTTTTCTATTAATAAAATTGTCTATTTCAATAGCATTTTTGGAAAATGCATTGTAAAGTCATTTATACGGAAAATTCTGATCTTTTTCAAAAATACACTTTTAGTTTATAATTCCATTTTTGATATATATTATCATTTATGTTATGTGTCTAATTTGCAGGATAGGGAACTTTTAAAGGGCACCCAAATAAATTATAATTTTTAAAACGAAAATTATTTTTTCAGATTTGGTTTTCAGTAGATTTTTCCAACTGTGCACGGTGGGTAAGCTGACTGACACTCGAACCGCCTGACAACGCCGCCACTTAGTTTAGAGTTTTATGAGCGCAATTCGATTATTCTTCATTTACGTCAATCAATGTGGAGGCTGCTTTTAGCCGCTAGCCGCGCACCCTTAATCGCTTTGTTTAAATAGTAAAACGCCGCTTGGTTTGAGACTTTTTTTCCGAAATTTAATATCGCAGATGAGAGGCTGTTTTTGTTGTGGCTGCCTTTTATTGTGCCGCCGTCTTGTCTATGAAATTCTGTCTGCCCCAAAGTCTGCTTTTTCCTGTTTCTGTTTCTGCTTCGGTTTCTGTATCCCTTTCGAATGCGAAAATCCCGCTGCTGCTGTTTTGTTGACTTTCATTTCATTTCCCAGCTCGTCGGTTTCCTCGTCCTGCTTCTTGTTTATTTCGCTTTGCTGTTTACTTCCGCAACTTTATTATAGCTTTTTGCTGAGTTGCAACTGTTTGCCTGTTTGCATTATGCCTATGAGGGTAAGGCCAACGCGTCGTATTAGCAACGTGGCCAGGACATCTGGAATGGGATCCCGAGCGGAAGCAGGGGCATCCTTGAGGCATAGATTTTATGTGGATTATGAGACGACGTTGTTGGCGGGTGAGAATCGAGGCAGTTGCTCGCACTGTTTACCAAGATTATTGGCTACTTTAAGTGGTTATTAAGAGTGCTGAGTTGAGTTGAGGGAAAATATGGCATACATACATAGAAGTATGTGTAAGTATTGAACTCTAAACTATCTCCTTTTGGAAAACTTGTTATTTTTTTAAAGTTTTACTGGACTTTTTGAGAGGTGTGCTATTATTTTACATAGATTATTTAGCTTTTAATGCATTTTCTTAACTTAGATAAAAAAATTATAGATAACAAAAATTTTTATCTTTTCAACTTTTTTCAAAATTACAAAGAAAATTGTAAGTATAGAGTGACCCTTTAAATATTTGTTGTGTTTTTTATTGACAGCTGTATAAGGCTGTAAAGATATCCTTTCCCTATTAAGATCAGTTACCAAGCTCATATTAAGTTGTGGACTTAATAACTAACGATTACCTTTGCTTTTGTCATTGGATTGCCTAAATAAAAACATATTTTAATTGAAATAAAGAAGTATGGGTAACCACAAATATTTCTTCTTTTAGTGAGATTTATAGTTGCGCTTAAACATCCTATTTAGATTAACATATTTTATTTATTTTTTAATGTGATAAAAAAAATCAATTTTTTAAACATTTCCGTTAAGGCCGTTTGATTTTTAGTTTTTTCCTAAATACATTATCCGTTTCTTAAAGAGCTTAAAAAAACTCCCCAATGTACGAAACCCTTACTTAAGTTTGAAACAAAAAATAATGATATATTGTTTTACCTTATAAGTGCCTAATAACAAATGATAAACCATTAAAATCCATAAATTGGTCAACATAAAAAGCATCACGTACAAATTGAATCGATCAAATGGCAGAGAAGGAGACTCACTCATTTGTAGCTGGTCAATCAGCAGGAGGAGCGCTTTGTGGATGCTCATCTATAAATTGTACCATTTTTGCCGAAATTTGTAAAGTTTGGAGCTATTTTGAGCCCCCTCCCCCCCTTGCACCTAGCAGACGGGGGAAAATATTCAAAATGGCTGACATTCTGTGGAAAGTCGGAAGAAGGAGGAAAACAATGGAAAATGGCCTGGCAACATGTTAATAGCATTTCATGCACGACTGAGATTCGCATGCCAGCCCAAAAGAAGGTGGCACATTCCCATGTACCTCGAGCGACTCTGATTGGTTCTTTTTGGCCAGGTGGCTGGGTGATTCCCCCACCGCTGCCCCAAATCCCAGCGGCTACTGTTGCCATCCGCCGTCGACCAATGCCGAAAGGACGAAGGACTGCCGAAGGATTCTCGGGCCTGCGCAACTCGCATCGTCGCGGTGAGCTTTTCACCACATCAAGTGCGAATGGGACGGAATGCCTTGATTATGCTGCGAAGGAGCATAATCCGCTGGCAGGACATCCATCTGGGCAGAAAAGAAAGGCGAATGCGGGCGCTTTTAGTTTCACTTCGTGCGTTGTCCTGCTGAGGCCAAAAAGCGAGCCTGGAGCTGCGGGTATATAGCTGAGAAATTACAACTTAAATATATTAATTAATATGGATATATAGTGGAAAATATCTGAATAATCGTGTGTTTATATAGAGTAATTCGATTAAGTGCTGGTCTAGTGCTAAAAGCTAAGAAAAACTACGATTCTGTGACTACGCCTCGTAATACCCTTGAAAAGAAAAAACTCGCACGTTCCAGTGGTTGAAAATTTCCAGTGTATATACTACGCTCCTCCCACCCCCTCCCCCCACCCGATTTTTCCACCCAACTTTTCACTACTTTTGCCCCATGCCCACCGCTACAAATATATGTGTATATACAAATGATACTTTCCAGACCGAAATGGCAGCTTATGTATCCAAGTTCCACCGCCACCTGTCCTTCCCTGTCCTCCGCCGATCTTCGGCTGGAGGTCCACATCGTCGCCGATTTCGAACTGGATGTCACACAGTCTTCAGACAGAGTTGGATTCGGATCGCCATGGTCCTCGTCGTCGTCGGTTTTTTAATAGACAACCTGCCGCCGGTCTCGTGGTCAAACTCTGTCTGGATGTTGTCGTCCCACATTCTAAGTTCTTAATTGGTTTATAAGAAAGTTTTAGGTTTTTCCCTTTTTTTGCGGGGCGTGTGTTGCTCAGAAAATGTGAGATTCCTATAAATAAATAAAATAAATAAAAATTCTAGCGACTTAAAAAAAAATGTTTATATTTTTACATCCCTTAACTAAATATAAAATCTAAATTTTATATAATTTTATTATCCCACTTTCAGCGTATCGCGTAGTGTTTAATCAAGCTATATAATCTGTTATCTGTGTACCTTATTTGTGATATCCTAACCAACAACAACAAAATAGTTTAAAAAACTTAACGAATTTTGTTGCCTAATAAAACGTAATTAGCGCCAGGAAAACTACCGCAAATAACTGTGCTTAAGTTCCAACTAAAGGACAATTACATAATCGTTCACCACTACCAAATGGATTACGTAACTCTAGTGTGGCATGTAAGTAGGCATTGTGGCCAAAGGTCAAAAGTACAACTATTTTGGGGATAGAGATTCGAATGGAATCTTGGAGGAATTTAATAAAAAGCTGAGAAAAGACCAAATATTTTTCTTAATCAAGAAAACCATTTCTAAATTCCTGCTTGCAAAATGATATTTTATGTTTTTGTCAGAAAATTAAATGGATTTCAAAATAGCTCCAAAAAAACTAAATTACGAAACTATTTTTATCATCAAATCAAAAGAGTATTTCCATCTTAAAATTCAAACTAAAGTAGTTTTTGACTGTTTTCGTTTTCGTTTAATAACTAGACACACTTTTCTAACCCTATGGAATGAAGATTATGGTAAGCAAAAAATGGGTACAATTTCATACACCCGCTAAATGAAGCATAAAAGGCAATCAAAATGGCCCACAAAGCCAGAAATATTTACAAAATGTTCTGCCGGCTCAGCAGTTCCATTCCCTTCATCACTTCCTTAAAAGACCCAAGCCAAATTTATGAACATAAGCCGCTTACAAGAAATGTGCAAAATGATGAAATTGTACGAGACTTTTGCTTATCAGCAGCAGAACACAAATTTTTGGACCCTATTAATAAACGGAACAAATCTCTTTTGCAGGCACTGTAAATGAAAATGCACAAACTCGCCGAATATCGAAATTAAATGGCTACCAAGTGAGAATCCCCCGCTGAGCTGAGAACGAGCCAACCCGAAAATAGAGTCATCAAATTTGTGCTGGCTTCACGGAAATTAACCGCCGCCGATTCGCCACGCTTATATACACGGCAATCCGCCGTGAAGTAGGCAACAAAATATATTTATGCGCCCAAGTGATAACAGCGGAACAGGCAACGAAGCACAACAGACGCCACTGACTTTGGCCTAGGCGGAAGGACGAGACAGGACGAGGAAGGACTCAGCGATCCGGAGAGAGGGGCGGAGTCTGGACAAAAAAGGAATACGACCACAGCATCGCCATGAAGGGTCTGACGGCGTTTAAGGAGAAGGCGACAGGCGTGTTTGGCGGGTGAGTCGAATATGATATGATACCCATACCGTTAACACTAAGCAGCAGGGTTTTGGTCATAGCAAGCATTTAAAATATATTTTAAATTTTAATTTTAATGTAAAAAAATCATTTATTTTATTAATTTTCCAATCGAGCAAGAAACAGAATATTTAACACATGTATAAATATTTGTTTTTTACTTTTAAGATAGAAAAAAATAGATATTTATATAGAAAGAAATATTTAGGTTTTTGAAATTATATATAAATGTGTCTGAAAGTATGCTGTAAGAAACGTCAAACGAAATAAAAATGTATTTACTCTTCTGCTGCATACTTTTTACCACCTTTTAAAATGAGACTTTTTTTTAGTTTCTGAAAAAAATGATAAAATTATTCTTAAAATGGGTAACTTTTTATTCAGTCCCAGCTTCATTTAAATAATATTATTTCCTTGCTTAGCGTTTCTTTTTAAACTTTTTGCTGAGAAGTGTAAACCGATGACTGGGAGCAATATGCCCCAGAATGAAATATGATTGCAATCAAATGGACTTTAGATAGAACAAAAGGAATATTGAGTTTAATTTAACGCAAGGCTGGTCGGTGTTCGTGGTTGGCTGAACTTGACCATGCCAGGATAATGCAGTAAATATGCTTCCACCGAAATTGATACGCAGCTCAATCCCGACTAGCCGGCGTCGCGAAACTTCGGCACGTGTCGCGCCCCGGAAAGTTGTAAAATTATTGGCATGCTTAACAAGTCATTAAAGGGGGATGGCCAGGATTCTGATGACTTTTAGGACTTTCCAGCGGTGACAATGAACGCACTGGCATGCCGACGGTGAGCTCCTCACCGGTGCCTCAGGAATTCCGGGCACGTTGGCAGCACGTGTCCGGGAACTTCAGCTCCGGCACCTTCGAATTCCCCGGGCAAAACACAATAAAGTCGTACTTTTCTCGGGCATATTGGACAAACACTTCATGAATGAGTGACTGAATGTGTGCGAACCTGGTATGCAATTTTATGGCCACACCTCGCCTGATTTCTCAAGGACCTTGGGGCGCTAAATTAGAAATTGGAACAATAGGTGGCACATGGCACATCGCTTTCATTAAGGAATGTGTTGCATACCGACGAAGGGCTGCTGCTGCATCGTTTAGGGCAAATGAAATTGATTTTTACGAGCCGTTTCCGTTTCCGTTGCCAACAGGACCTGCCGCTGAAGCCCTCGAGTGGCACTTGGCGCGAAGAAATTGAAATGCCTCATCAGGAGGGGGGTTGTGCTCAAGGAGTTCCTTTATCCTTGCCAGTGAAAATGAAATTAGAATTGCCATTGAAGACGCGGTCGTGTCGCTGACAAGCCACCATTTCACCCACCCTCCAAATGCCGCAGCATCTCTGTTGTCAGGACAAACAAACTAATACACACCACATATATATTCCTATATATATCTGTGAATGTGCCCCATTTACATTTCTAATGGTCGCGTTTTTGTGGCAACGTTAAAGTCAAAAGCGAATTCGTACAAAAGCCTTCAGCTTGTGGCGCCAGTTATCCTTAATCTGGGCGGCGCCAAAAAGTCTGCAACATTTTTACTGACAATCAAAAGAGAACTTTAGCGCCAGAGATAGTTTGGCGAGGCGTCAAAAAAAATACCAGTTCCAGTCAAGGATGGAAAGTGATATCTGAAAACAGGCGAAGATGAGATGTTCTAAAATAAATATATAATTATATTTTTAAATAAAAAAAATACGGAGTTTTAAAAAGTGTTTAAAAGTATGCAGTGAATAAGGAATGAATTTATCGAACTTCCATAATAAAAATGTTGCATACTTTCGGATGTCTAGTATCTATAAATAGTCTTAGTAAAAAATATTTTGTAACTACGATAGAAAAGACAATTGTTCTAGAAGCTTTTACTGATATTTCATAGATTTATACTGAAGAACTTTAAGATACTGTGTTGATATAATATATAGATAATAAAATCATCTTTTAGCTCGTAACAAACCTAATGACAGCCATAACGCAGCCCTATTTTTTTGCAAAGGGCAAATAAGAATTGCCGCATAAAATTGGCGTCAGATTTAAAGTCGGTCAAGGCGGAATTTTATCGAAGGACGCAAGTTGCTCCCTTAGCTCCGTTTTTTTTCTTTCTGGTCTTGTTCAGGGGATCCTGCGTGACCAGACGAGGGTAGCTTTTTGCGGCAGACAGTTGAGTTATGTGACAGGCGGCGACTTCGACTTCGACGACGACAAAGTTATATCCACTGTAGTGGCTTGTTTTTGGCTGGTGGCTGCTTATTAGTTTGTATTGCATACTTATGGGGACTTTGTCTGGATATTTATGAAGAAAAATGCCAACTGTCTGAGGGGCAAGGGGCTATATCTCAGTTGATGTGTCACTTATCCCGGGTTAATGGCTTGGTCAGGGGTTGGTTAGGTGGTAGGTGGTTAGGTCACCACTCTTTATCAGCCCAGATATCAGCTAACACACATCCATCAATCAGCCGCTGACAAGGTCTTTTAACTGTGTTTAAACTGGGAAATCAAATCTGGAAATGCGATTTTCGATTTTTTACCTGCTTCAATCAACTTTAAATACTCGCAGACATGCTATCAGCACTTAATAAAATTGAATTTTATTCCACACCGAGGACGGAAGTTCTGCCGGCAATTCCTACCCTCGGTCACCGCAATTCCTTTGGGACCCTTGGGAAAAATAGCAACCACCTTCGATGGGTGGAATTTTCTTAAGTGAGGGGTGAGACGCAGCTGTTGCTGCTAACAAGCCGAAAATATTTGTGTTTTCACGCCCTCTCGTTGACCTGTTGATTTGGCTTGCTATCCGCTCTAATTGGCATGAATTATGCCTCAGGAGAAAAATGTTTGGATTATTTAAGGAATTATCTTTGAAAGCATATTTTTTATAAGAATACAAATATTTTAGATTTTTATGCATTTTTCTAAGATATTATATTTATTATCTCCAAAACTTGGAAAAAAATGTTTTTGTTTTATTTAAATTCCTATGTTTAGAATCAGATTAAAAAGTTCATAAATAATTACAAAATAAATCTGAATAATACATTTATAATTATAATTTTGGTTATTTATTCTTCTTTTAGCCTGAAGCCCAATATGGAGAAGTTCGAGATATCGCAGGGCTATCATGGCGGTCACGGTGGCTACGAGGAGATGGAGGGGGGCGACCGGGAGGGTCGCGGACCGGGCGGTGGCCACGCCTACGACGACGACGACGATCGGCCCGATTCGCCCGCCTCCTTCGAGGAGATCGAGCGACCGCCGCTCCGAAAGATCGACAAGTACTGCAAGGCGGAGTGTCCTTGCATGCCGGCCCGCTACACCATCGCCACCATGGCCTGCGTGGGATTCATGATCGCCTTCGGAATGAGATGCAACATGTCGGCGGCCAAGCTCAAAGGAGAGCACAACGGGGTAAATATATTAATATAGTAATATAGTACAACGTTGATAATAACACTTTATAAAAGTCAGTATAATTTTATAACCGTGATTTTCTATAATTAAAATTATCATTCTACAAACTATGTATTAAGAATTCCATTTTAGTCAAGTTATAAAGTCTTAAATGAAATAAATATAAAATCTAATTCAAGGGCTTAAACTATCCAATTAATTTAAAAAGCTTTGATAAGTGTATGCTATTTAAAAATACTTAATTTTGAATTTAAACTACATTTTTTGGATAAACGCTTTTTATTTGATTAAAAAAATAAATAATTTTTTTTAATGGGAATTTAATAAGGTCTTGATTTTTATTAAAATTTCATAAAAATTATTATACTCATTTTGAATTGTTTTATTTACTTTGTAAGTTACACAAATTAAATGATACATTCTCTCATAAAATTTATTCCACATCTCCACGCTGTCAGTCTGCATATAAAATTGATCAAATTGTCAGCATTAAATGAGCAGAAATAAAAGCATGAGGGGGGAAAGCCATCAAATTCGCTTCGTTTGGCGAGAAGCTGTTGTCAATTAGGGAGTGTGTGTGTGTGGGTATCCACCCACTCAAAAGTCATATACAAAAGACCACGCCCCCACATAGAAACAGTGAATCCGGCTTGACGCTCGTTAATAAATGCCTGCAGCGGTTTTTAATGATTGCTGAGCTCCGTCACCCATCCCGTTAAATGTTAAAATGTATTTCCGCCTTTTATTTTTGCAGACTGTTTTCATGAACTGGACGGTCGCCGTGGAGAGCCATGTGGACTCGTCCTTCTTCTGGGGCTATCTGGTGACGCAGATTCCCGGCGGCTTCATCGCCTCCAAGTTTCCGGCCAACAAGATATTCGGCCTGTCCATCGTGAGCTCCGCCACATTGCATCTCTTCGTCCCATTCGCCATGACCCTGATGCACGGTCATGTGGTGATTTGCGTGAGGGTCCTGCAAGGACTCTTCGAGGTACGTAACCCAACCAACCAACTTACCAAATTCGATTTCGCCACAGATCAAAGCCGGGGATTACGGCTGCGTGATGTTGCGAAAATGGGGAGGGTTAGATTTTGCTTTATGATAAAGCAAATATGTGAAATGGAAACATGTCCTAAGCCCTCAAAGGGATGGGGGTCCTACCAGGGCAAGGGAAAAATAACAAAAGCATTTATTTTAATGCGATTTCTTTGTGTGAAAGGACTGGGGAGTATGTCATTTTTCTTTGGCTCGGAAGGGAAAGCAAGATACTTTGTCAAAAGATTGTTTGCTCATTCGATTTTGGCAGTAGCTAACAAATATTATTGAATGTCTTTCTTGAATTTTTTTTTGATAGGTTAGGCAATACATTCAAAACAAGAAATAATAGAAACAATGATTTTCTTCTAATAAAATAATAATATAAATCCTAAATGAGTGAGTGTTAAAATATTTTTACTAAAGCAAGGAACTTATTAGATTGTAAGACTGCCTAAATGTCTTTTAATTAAAAAAAGTTACCTATATTTTCCCACTTATTTTTCCCCAGGGCGTTACCTATCCGGCTTGTCATGGCATTTGGCGCTTCTGGGCGCCGCCCATGGAACGTTCCCGACTGGCGACGCTGGCCTTTTCCGGTTCGTATGCTGGCGTAGTGGTGGGACTTCCGCTTTCCGGTCTTCTAGCCGATACCGTGGGTTATCAGGCTCCCTTCTACGCCTACGGGGTATTCGGAATCATATGGTACATGTTCTGGATATGGTTGTGCTTCGAGAATCCGCGCAAACATCCTGCCATCAGCATACCCGAGCTGAAGTACATCGAGAAATCGCTCGGGGAGTCGGCTCATCCGTCGATGCCCTCGCTGAAAACAACTCCTTGGCGGGAGATGATGCGTTCGATGCCCGTTTACGCCATCATTGTGGCCAACTTCTGCCGCTCGTGGAACTTCTACCTGCTGGTGCTGTTCCAATCCTCGTTCCTCAAGCACAAGTTCGGCTTTAAGGTGGAGGAGGCTGGCTTTGTGGGCTCCCTGCCCCACTTGATCATGACCACAATAGTTCCATTTGGCGGCATGTTGGCGGATCACCTGCGTAAGAACGGCATCCTATCGACCACCAATGTAAGAAAGCTCTTTAACTGCGGAGGCTTTGGAATGGAGGGATTGTTTTTCCTATTCGTCGCGCATTCCTCAACGGCGGTGGGTCTTAAGAAATACAAAATTTTGTTTTGGATTTTATAGTTTTTAATTTACAGACGGGAGCTATGTTTGCCTTGACCTGCGGCGTGGCCTTCAGTGGCTTTGCCATATCCGGCTACAATGTCAATCATCTGGATATTGCTCCTCGCTATGCTAGTATCTTAATGGGATTGTCGAATGGCATTGGCACACTGGCTGGCATCATTGTGCCCTACGCTTTGGATGGACTTATCCAGCAAAATGTAAGTAAAGTTTATGGAAAAGTATTTATTGGTATCAAAGATCATATACAAAAAGTCACCAAACATAAAACTGGCGCCCAACGTGGAATCATATGTTTAGGCCCCACGTTGGGCGCCAATTCTATTTTTAAAAAAATTAATGCTTTTTGTATCATTTTAAATCTTTTAGCCTACTGGCTGCTGGACAACAGTGTTTACTCTGGCCGCTTGTGTTCATTTGGTTGGATGCACTTTCTATGGCATTTTCGCATCCGGAGAGCTCCAGCCATGGGCGGAACCGCCAGCCGAGGAGCAAAAGGTGTGGGCACCGCCACCAGGTGCCATTACCAACACGGATCCTAGTCAGGCGGGCATGTTGGGTGACTACATGAAGGAAACTTCATTTGTAAGTGAAAAACTGTTAAAGTTATACACCTTAAAATATGTTAGTAGAATAGAAAACTTTATTTAATTCTTATATATTTTTGTATAGAATATTACTTTAGGCATTCATCAATTAATTTTTTCCCTTTGAAAAATAGGGTGCCCCCGAGTACACTGAGCAGAGCCAAATGCAGCAGTCGAATGCCATTAGCTATGGCGCCACAGGACACGTGGCCAACAATCCCTTCGCCATGGCCAGTGGTGGCGCACCACCGATTGCAGAGGAGGATGCCCCGCCGAACTACGGGGATGTTTCCAATTCAGGGCAATATGGATACACGCAAGGACAAATGCCGTCCTACGATCCGCAGGGATATCAGCAGCAGTAAAGGGTCACTTTGAGATATATCATAGCTTTTAGTTGTAGTCGGAAATCGTTTGACGTTTATTGTTTGTTCTTGGTGTGCCGTTAAAGATTCCACCCATTATCTCTCCCCATTTGTTGAGTTCCATCGCTGAGGGGATCCTAAAACGCCTTTCGGAGTTTATAAGTATAATAACTACAGAGTAACGAATTTTTCAGCGAATAAGGGGATTCCACATGCATCACTAACACAATGAAACTATGTACCTAACAGAGAAACTACATATGCACACACAGCAATACCGATAGCCATTAACATTACCGGTAGCCCACATAGACCCTAAAAAACTGGCCTAATCGATCTATATAGCATATATACTACTAAGGCCTCGCTTGCGCGAATTTCTATTTACAAGCTCCGAAAATCCAAATCGAAAATGCAACACAAGATAGGGAAAGAACTGGAAAAATATATTCAACACTTGTGTATATCATATATCATCACATAATTTATACGAAGCCTATAATAATTATATTTAAATCGGTATAATCGTATATATATATAGCCAAAGATTGTTGTTGAACTGCAAACTGCAAGTTTTATTACCGTTGATGATATTATCTTCTGTGTAAAGAGAACATTTTAATCAAACCCAAGCAATTGTTGATGTTCGGCACGAATGATAACCATAAAAAGTACTAGCTAATCAAAAAACCATAATAATATTCTGTTATCATATTAAATATTTACGTTTAATTTGTTTTGTTATTACAATTTAAAGATGCACCGTAGGCTTTTGTGTTAGAAAAACATGAGCAAGGCATGATGTAGGCACTAAATACAAACCCCTTAAGTAGATAGCCGTAGGCGCATATAACCTCAGACTTGGTCTTCATATGCTCACTACAATAAAATAATAATAAGAAAAAGGAACACTTGAAATAAATATGTAAAAGATTTTTATAATTTTGATTTTCTTTGCCAAGAAAATCTACAAAAACATTTTTTTTACCTTTTAAAATATTTCTATGTTAAAAAATATTTCATGTAACTTTCTTGGCTTGGAAATTCAAGTATCCTTTTTTAAAATAATAACTATGTTTTAATATGTTTATTTAATTTTGTTCCTTTTGTAAAAATAAAAAAAACTTATTCTATTACCACTATTAAATCTCTCTAAAGTAATAAATTTAAACAATTTCGAAATATCTAGTAGATTGTAAATAAATTCGGCACTAAGTAATTTTATTTTATTTTAATATATGTATTTATGCACCAAATTTGATTTTAGAGCACAAATTTATCTTACAAAATGCACAGTTACTTCTTATTTTGTTTAGTTAATCGCACCATTTTTTCATTTTATTTAAGTTAGCAATTTAATTTATAACTTATATTACTGCCACACAAAACATATTTAGACGCACTTACTTTCGCACCGTTCAATTGAATATACAAATTTACAACAACATTATTTCTAATCGTCTGTATATTATCCAAACGTATTAAACTAGCCACAAGTATTATAAATAACTATATAAAGGTAATTTAAATTATTCACATTTAAATCACTATGTATTAAAAACGTGAAAATTTTCTAACTAAAAGAGTCAATTCTAATACCGTAATTTGTACAGCGCAGCGAATAAATACTCAAGCAAATACTCGTATAGCAAACTTATACTAGCTAATATATATTACAATTTTAAATGTTTTTGGATGCAAGTTCCAAGTTGAAGAAAACAATACTGCTTGTGTGAGCGACAATACTTAGTGACGTAAGCATAGTTAATAGTTAATACATTTATATTCATCTATATATTATTTAAATTTATTAATTTGATTATAGGCACAAATTTTTAAACGAATGCTTCGCGCAGGCAATTAAAAATGTTGGCCACTGGGGCGTATGTGTAATATTAGGATAGTTACAAATCCATTCTGTACATAAAACCATTTTATCAATTGAGTATTAAGCTCTATTAATTTGGAGGTTACAAAGCTAGAGACAATATCTTACTTATAGATTTAATTTCCTGTTTTGTAATATTTTTCGTTCGTTTTTGAGAGATACTCAAGCTCTCGGGGCTGTGTGGACAATAATAACATAGATGTATGTTAACCAGAAAGCCACGGTTACAACTTTTGCTTGCTAAAATATGAAATAATTAAAATCCCTTCACATAACTGTTTGTAAATAAAAGAAGTGTATCTCTATAGTTGAATGCCATCATTAAATGCTTTTGTGAGTAATTTAAGTGTACATAAAGCCAAATTAAACCGAAGCATAACTAAATCTTAAACGAGCGCATCTTTAATAGTGTTAAACCGTCAGTTTTTTGCCATCGCCAGTCACACAAGAACAGGTTACATCTAGGGTATTTTAACTACTAGCCAAACGTAAATGTTGTGCGTGAAAATGAAGTTAAAAAAGCTAAGAAAATGCATACACTTTCATACAGAAATATGGGCGCACAAATTAGAAACAGATATATGCTAATAATATAAATCATATAAATATACTCAAATCATAAATTAAATGACAAAGGGACTGTGAAGTCTGCCCCACAGAATCTTCTAAATATTGAAAAGGACATAGTAATGATATTACCGCTATACTTAAACCGTGTATATAATTAGAAACAAAATATTCTTTGTGTTTACTGAGAGTTCTGCATACGAAATATAAAATATTAAATCGAAATTAAAAATATTAAACACCATCGGAGATCCCTTTTCTGGCAACACCCGCCCATGTTGTATAATTTGTATGGTAGTTAAACCAAAATAAAATAAATACTTATATATTTCAGTGTATGCTCATTAACAAGAATAAAACAAATAACTATTCCTAAACATAAACGAGTAAATAAGACTCAAGACACAGGAAACCCACTATTAATTTGAAAAACAGCCTACATTTGGTTAACAGAAGTATAGATACAAGCCCCTTGCATGAAATCCGGTTATACGAATACCGAATATTTGAAGGTCGTGAAAAAAGGACAAAATTATACCCAATGAAATGTATTTGGAATTCAATAAAACGAACATGTTAAAAATTATGCCAAACAATACGAGTTTTTTATTCCACACTTGTTTCAGCATAAAACTTAAATATTTATTTGTACAAGTCCCAACGAAAAATGGCTGCATTTAGAACTAATAACAAAAATATGAAATAAATAGGTATCGAATAGGAAACAAGCTAAAATCACATGAGTGCTACGGTGTAAAAGATGCATAATAAATCCAGGTGGTTTTCCAAAACGATTCGAATACAAATCAATGTAAAATTCCGACTTGGCCAAGATACAAAACATTATCTCCGTACTCCCTGGTATTCTCCATTGGATCGTCCTTTGCCCGGAAATCCCCGAGCAAAAGGCGCCTTGGCATTGGTGGTCACATAATAATTCCCTCGAGCTCTGTGGGAATTAATATAATTATTAAAAAATTCTAGAAATGGAATTATATTAGTACTCACTTGTGGGAACAGTGTTCGCCCATTAGCACATATTCCGAGTCCTTGGGCTCACACCAACCTATCAGGTAGGAAAACAAGTTTGGGCAAGGACCCGCATAGAATCCCCGAGTCGTGGTTATGGACTCAATAAAGTAAGGTGTTACTTTCGTGTGATCACAGGCCAAGGTTTCTGGGGATTTAAGAGGATGGTAAAATATATTAAAATTGGGTTGGCAAAACAATCAACAGCATTATTGATACTATCGATGGTTTTAGACCGATATATACACTATTGATAATATCGATAAATCATTGTATCTGATTGACGATAGTATTGATAATGTCGATAGTGGCCACTTGTTTATTTAGTCTTATTTTCGATATTATCGGTAATATTAATTATAGCCACTTATTAATTTTAAATGGTTTTCAATTAATCGATAGCTAAATTTTCGATAAAATTAAATTTTAATTATATAGATTTATTTAAGCACACTCACGAAACAACGTGGCTGATCCCACACAAGCTGGCTGCCTGGTGCCTCCGTTGACATAGAAATCCGCATGGCCACTGGAGTGCCACTGGCCCAGGATTCCGGCTCCAGTGTGGACGACATCCACAAAGTGGGCATCTGTCGTGTCCAAGTCCCTGGAGTTGTTCGCTCCCGCATAGAAGAATATCGTTGGATCCAGCGCCGTAATCCTGCCCAGCTTTCCTTCCTCCGGCTTCAGATAGTTGGCCACCAGCCCAGCGATGTGGGCACCCACACTGTAGCCAATGAAGTGCAGATCATCCGGCTGAACGCCGCGGGGATGACGAGCGAGGTATTTTACTAATTGTGAGATGCAAAGACTTCCGAAACGCGGGGCCCAGTCCATCTGACTCAAACAGGGCTCCTTCACGGCATCCGCATAGTCCACAATGATGATGTTATACTCGCCCACACTGAAGTAGGCCTCCCGAAGATCCGGACTGGGACTCAATGTCCGACCGCCGCCGAAGCCATGGATTATGATCTTGGTGGGATGGCGGGGATTGAAGTGCGTGTAGTACAGGGCATTCGCATCCAGGACATCGATGAATTCCGGCTGCTCCTGGGTGCGCCTGGTGTACAGATAGAACTGGATCTTCGGGTGCGGACAGCGGTATGGCTTCTGCAGGCAAGAATCCGTCACATAGACTTGCGTCTGATTTTGACCAGCCGCCACCGCAGCAGCCACAACTCCCGCATTTTGACCAGCTGTATGTGAGATTGAAATTGCAAGATTCAAGATTTTAGTTGACAAACAAGTTTCGCTCTACGATATTACATTTAATTACATAAGAGGTAGTGGGGGGGACTTGCAGCGGCGACATTGAATGCTTGCAATTTGGCACGACGACGCAAATGTCATGCGATTCATGTTGCAGTCGCAAGAGTTGCAGAAAGTAAAAGTCAGCCAAAAACGGAAGTGACGCTATATTGTGGCTCACTTCACTCTTTGTTTGCCATTTGCGACTGGGTTTATTTTTGACAAAACGTGTGCTGCCCATGATATAACTAGAGCTGGATCTCGAAAACTGAATGCGGAATGAATATGCGTAATTTATTCGTATTTATGTGCTTCATGCGGGGTGGGAAAACCCATTTGAGATCGGCTTATCTGACACTTGGGCTTCAGATATGCCCCAAGTGGTTCGGATTCGCAATTGTTGGCAGTGGGTTTCACATGCATCGTTATGCTCTTTGGGTTATCCATTAAACTATTGTGTGTATCAACCATTTCACGCTTAATTTATTTTGCTTTTAATGGCTATTGCTTTATTTTTAATTTAATTTTGGGGACCTATAACATTGCAATTTTAAGGATCTTTAAATATTATAAGCTTCATATCCTACAAATTCTCTAGAACTTTAGTATCCTGGTATGTAAAGCATAAAACAAAATACAAAATATATACAAAAAATATTTTGGTTTAAATTTTGAATTGTTCAAGTATTTCTTAAATAGTTTTATAAACTTTACAGTCTACTTAAAAATGCTTTAGTAGCGAACAAGAAGAACAAAGAAAATAAAATTAATTAAAAGTAATAAATAAAATAATTTAAGGAAACATACAAATTTTTAAAATATTTGAATTTTACAGCAGTCCGCTAAAACTTCGAACTAGTTCCAACTATTTTTGTATCAGCAATGTTGAGCTCACCGCATGCGTAAGAAGCCGTCGTAATGCGGTTTGAATCTAAATGGCCAAATTAAAAATCTAACCGAGAATCGGCCTTCAACTAACTCAGTTGGTGGCGCCCAAAATGTTAACCAGCAATTGGCCCACTTGTAGTTGGAGTTACTCGTAGTTAGACGATAACCAAGAGTCATGCAACCGGTCTGGGAAACTATTGCAGATGCAGACTCTTGCCGGTTGGGTGGGCGCACTGGAAATACCCGAAGATATCGGCTGCCTTATAGGGCATATACGATATAGTATACCCATACCCCAGCGACACAGTGAGCACACATGCCCCAATTTAGTCCGATTTCGATGACAAGTGTTCGCTAGACCAGCAGCTGGTTAAATTAATCATGCAATAAGCGTACTTTTACATCAGAGACCGTAGCATAATGCCACTCAACCGCCCACCGATAATCATGATACAGACAACCGAAAATGAACATTATGAAAGCCGTTGGTAATGTTTAAAATATACTTTTTATAATATTAATATTTCCGTACTTATTTAAGGCTAAATTCCAACTAAACTCTAGCAAAAGTAGTACACATTTTTAAAGAAGTTGGTAATGTTCAAAGTATAAATGTAAAAATATTATTTAAAATATTTATTAAAGGCTCAAGTCCATCTAAACTCCACTATTCACTTGTATTTTCCCCAAAAAAGTTGATCCAACTTAAGATCCATTTTTATTTCTCTGTAGCCATATCATTCCCCACCCGCACTTTCCACTCTTCAATTAGCAATGGGCTGTGGTCGCGGTCATGCCTCAATTGCCTTCGGTTTTTCTGTTTTCATTTGTTTTTCACAATCGTTTATCTCTGACTTCGTGAGCTGCTTTTTCCATCTTATGTAAGACCACTCCTCCTGCCCCTTTTTACAATTTTTTTCACCATTCGGGCATTACGCATGCCAATTAAATGACTGGGATTTCTTTCGGTGGGTTTGTTTATATTTTTTTGGCGGGAAAAAATGCATGGGGAAATTTTTCGGTACTTTGGAGCTAGCCGGAAAACTTTGTCCAACTAACACAAATCAAAACCGAAACGGAAGCAGTCGAATGCGGAAGGAGAAATGCGAAGTTGGACGCGAAACACGAAATACTCATCGCCTGCTAAGTGAAAGATGATTTTTTGGGTTGGCTCGCTTTTGATTTGGCTTTATTTGTTTTTTTTTGGTTTGTTTTGTGGGTTTTTGTGTTTTTTTATTGGCCATGAGTCATGGACATTGTTTGGCTGGCTTTTACGTTGGAGATTATTGGCCAATTGACTTCGATTTGATATCGAGATTTGTGTGTCATAACCTTAAGGCTTTCAAGTGGTGTCTTAAATGGTGTTGCAAAAAGCCTTGCATGTCTTGTTTCTTTCATTAACAAAATTCTTAAAAAATTGCTTTATTACAGGCTTTAATATGAAATTAACTGCTTCTAGATTGCAACATATAGTTGACCCACTTTTAGGCTATAATTGCTTGGATTTCCGTTGGTTCATTGACCTACTAACTAGCCTAATAACAGCCCTTTAAAATAAACTGTAATTCTATATCAACTGACGACCGTGGCCCTCTGATTCTGTCTAAATTAAAAACTTGACAATGACACGCACCCCGAGTAACGCGCATACGCCCCGTATGACACTTTTTTTCCAGCGGCAATAAAATATAACCAGGCTATAAATACATTGCAAAAGCTAAAAAAGCTACAAAGAGTGTCAAGGTGCAGGGCCAACAAAAATATGAATTCATAATTAAGTGGCTAAAAATTTTAAAGATTTCAGGGCGGACTTAAACAGTAGTCGGGTCAATTAATTAACTTGGGCTACGTGAGATTACAAAAGTCACACCATGACAAGGCAGACTTTATGATTTTTGTGTGGGATGAGCCTCTGAAAAATATTTTCGGTACTCGAAGAGAGTTATTTATATGGCTGCTGGCCGAAGATATGAGGCAAGGTCGAAGAAAATGTTGGTAAATATTGGGCAACTAACAAAAAAAAAGAGGAAATTTAAGACGACGCCAATTTGAAGTGTCAACAGAAACACAAACCGCGGTGGTCACAATGACAGAGCGAAAAGAAAGGTACCGAAAAATATTTAACAACAAAATAGGTGCCAACCAGGGCGAAAGTAAAAGTTTAACTTAAATTTATCTCTTTGGGTTTCTTTTAGCACAACAACGCATACGAACCGGCGAATTCCAGGCGCAAAAAGAGTGTAAAACTCGCGCAGAGCAGCTGCAGCCAAAAGTCTGCACTTTTTTGCTTCCTCACACACTTTAACCACATGTTTTTCCGTTTATATTTTTTTTGGCAAATTCACACTACTTTTAGTTTTAATTGCAATTGCAAGTGCGATTATATAACTGGGCTATATTATGTATTTATAAAGCGGGATCTTTGGGTCAAGACCTGCTCGTTGACCGGCGCCTCAAACCGTCTCAAAGTGCAAAACTCTTTCTTAAGCACCAGCTCGAGAGCTGGTCATTGGACTCGATTTCGATTTCAATGCACAGCAAGACGACGGCGAAGCTGGCGAGGCATAATTCCGGCTGCCTCCGCACAGAAATTGATTCAGTTTTGTGTTTTACCACACTTCTTTTACTTTTTGCAGGCACGCGCGGTTTTTCGAGGTGTATTGTATCGGATTGGATTGGATGCTTGGGATCGATCTTGGCTTTCTCCGCCTCGAAGTACGCGAACACGTGCGATTTGATTGCGCTCCGGCGAGCCACTGACTGTCGAGTTCGTTTCCGAAGTCTTTCGTTTTTGTTGGTCAAAAAGTTCGCACCGGCGCACTGAAAAAGCTCGATCTGCGTGTAAAGCTTTTGTTTTCGGTATTTTAATACGAATTTGAAAGGGTTTAAAAAATATCAGCAAATAACCATTTGTAATATAAAAAATCTAAATTATTTTAAATATTGAACTGTACAAATTGGACGTCTAAAAGTCACAAAAAATGTGCCCTTTTTTTCATAAATTAGAAAATTTACTTATATTTACCCATTTATTTTAAAATTTTCTCCAATTTTATTAAAACGTTCAGTTTACTTCAAAAACATTACTTCTTAAAGTCATGGCAAATATTTTGTAAGACATTACAGTAACGACATCTGAAAACTCATTGGCAAGGCAAAGCGGTGCAGAAGTCCACCGGCAAGTGCCACATAAGAAACTTTATTTTCCCGCATTCTTCGAGGATGTAATCCCTAGACGCCGGATCCATGTAGACGACAACCTCATAGTTATTACATCCTTTGTAAATCACTTTTGAAGCATAGTCCTCCGAGCAGGTTTCCAAAAGTGTCTTTCTCACGACACACCATTTCTTAGTATCGAGGCAGGCATTAATTTTTTCTATAATGCCAAATACACTACACAGCTTCACTTCGTTGACCATCGGAATCACGAAGGAGCAGCGCACCAGTTCAAAGTTTTTTATGACCATCACCAGTAGACACTTCAATAAATGACAAATGATGAGAAGCTAGGAAATTTGGAAATAAAACTTTTAAAAACACTATGACTAAAAATTTACAAAATTATAGAAAGTTGTTTACTGTACGGTTGTTGAACTGAATGTAAAACCTTATGGCTAGACATATAATGTGTTGAAGTTTCAGGATTCACCTGCTTTGTTCACAATTTTTAAAAATTTGGCAACAGTCGCGTGGATTTTATTTGGATTTATATGTATGTGACTTTACATTCAATTTTTGCAATTAGTTTGGTCATTAGCTTACTGGGTTTATCTAAATTGTAAGTTGTAAATTTGTAACAAATATTTTTTTTTACAAAAAAGACATAAAAAAACACATCATTTATGTAATTAGTTGCACACTAACAGATAGGTTAATCTAAATTGTAAATTGTAAATTTTTAACAAATATATTTTTTTTTAATAATTTAAAAAAAAATGTTATATGCATCCCTACTGTATTTTACATTTTAATAATTAGGTTGCATATTAATTAACATATTTGGTTTATCTAGGTCGTAAATTTGTAAGAAATATTTTCTTTAAAATAAACAGATAAAAAAGAAAAAAAAATTTAAAAAAAAAAGTAATTAAAAATGGTTTACAAATAATTGTTTAATAATGATTTATATTTTCTAACTCAACTTAATGCTAGGTCCGTGAATTTACGAAGTACCGAAACGTCGAATTCGACTTCAACCAGCGGTCCTTTGGCGAATGGCGAAACCTCATGGGTTGTTAGGAAATACGAGCCCGAGGCACTGAAAGTTCAAAGGGGGAATTCAGAAATAAACCATACCATAAAATCCAGTAATATCATACTCAGCCGAAACAAAGTAACCCATCTGGGTGTTGGGCATATTGGAGTAATGGCTGCAACGCTGCGAGAAGAAATCGAACCAACCGCCGCACTGCTGGGCCCAAAAGCCCCTTCTCGAGACAATGGACTCCCCGTAGTAGACGGCTGCCCTATAATGATTGCAATTGTAGAACCGCCAGTTGCTGATGTAACTGCAGCCCCGTTGGTTCAGCTGATCGAGATTCGGATAAAAGTCCGCATGGCCCATGGGCGGCAGCATGGAGAAGAAAAAGGGATCGGTGTGGATGATGTCCACGAAATCCGCATCACTGGCATCCAGTTTTTGCTGCAGCGAGGTCTGCATCATGAAACCAGGACCCGCCGGATCCAGACCCGTAATCCTGGCCAGCGGTTGGCTCACATAATTGGCCACCATCCCGGCCACTTGGGCACCCAAACTAAAGCCTATCAAGTGGATATCCTCGCGTGCACAGATTCCAGCTGAGATTAGGTTATTTATCAGTTGAGCCAGACACTCGGAGACAATGGGAGCATTATTCACGGCCCAAGGATAATAGCAAGGCCACCGCACTAGGGTCTCATAGTCCACCGATATCACATTAACTGGCTGAGTTTCAAGCAGCACATCTCTAACTTCCAAATTGGGTGTCAAATTCCTGTTGCCTATAAATCCATGGATGAGTATTTTTAGCGGCAGTCGAGGTTCAAAGAGATCCTTTTGTGGATTCAGGGGATCCAGTAGATAGGGATCATCGCGGGTTTGGCTGAAAATTAAAGATAATCACTTCCTTGTTTCTAGTTTCCTATAAAAAATACACCTACTTGGTGTAAAGCCAGAAGGAAACCCGCGAATTGGGACACTTTTGCTCGCCGAAGACACAAAACTCTGGCAGCCAGCCGCGCAGCTGTTTTTCTCCTTTACAAAAACCGGAGATTATTAAAAGGAGAATCACCGCGGTATATTTGCCCATGACTAAAGTCAAAACTGCTCTAAGCTCGCATTCTAACGCCAATTCTATTAAATTTGCACGGCCTAACATTGAAAATGGCGTGGAAAATGGGGGCTCATTGAAAAAAAAAGAATAATAATAATACTGGCAGGTGATAAAAAGTCAAGGTCGCCAAAGGTGGTGGAAGGTGGGTGGCAAACAGTGGGTCAAGGTCGCTGCGGGTGGGCTTAGGCGTTAGAAACTGGTAATGAAAATGCTATTCTAGAACAGGGGATAAAAAAGCATTGATTTATGGAGGAAGGTTACTGGGTATGATAAATATGGCTTATTTCATAAAATAACCAGAAATAAACTAAATTTAAAGACTGTTTAATTTAAGCTTTGTTTGCAAAACAATTCTTATTTTTCAAAGCAAACAATTTTCTTTATTTTTACAAAACAATATCTTAGTTTAAGTTCTAGTTCTAATAACCCATTATATCTTTTAATAAGGGACTTAATTTAATTTAATTTCGGTTTATTTCAATAATTTAAATTTTAAATAAATAATTCTCTATATTAGTACTTATTTAATAATATTTCTAGACAAAGGCTGATCTTCTTCGCGATCGATCCAGTTTAATTGCTTATCTAAATCGGCTTCATCCATTTTAACAATAGCTTTCACCGCGTCCAATTCGAGAAACGCCTCCAATAGCTGCGGCTCATAGTCATCGTCGATTTCATTGTTCTCCCCATTCAGATGGAATTTGGCCAGGGTGTGACTATTGTCCACATCCTCCAGTTTGCCCAAAGCAAAGGGCGACGTACTTCTGGTTTTGAGGAAATAAGAACCTCTCAGGTCCTCCGAAACATGATAGCCCATTTCCGCCTGAGGTCCGGTTGTGGGACAAAGTCCAAGGAGATGGACCAACCAACTGGAACACTGGCGTCCCCAGAAACCCACGGTGGAGTTGATGGACTCGGCATAGAAGCGAGGAGCTCGCTCATGATTGCAGCTCCCAGGATCCTGCATATTCTCCTCCATGCAGCCGGGTTGTTGGGCCCCGAAATTGGGATAGAAATCCACATGACCCGAGGCTCTCAGAATCCCACGACCGAAAACATCCGTATGAATGACGTCCACAAACTCGGCATCACCGGGATCCAATCGTCTTGAGTCTGGACCCAGGATAAAGAGGGGCTTTGCAGGATCCAGACCCGTAATCCTCTTCAGCTTTCTCTTCAGATAGTTGGCCGTCTGACCAGCCACCTGGCCACCCAAACTAAAGCCAATCAGGTGGATCTTATCGTTCGGCACTATTCCACGATCCACCAAATTGTTGATCAACTGCGCCAGGCATTGACTCACTAGGGGAAGATTCTGCACCGCCTGGATGTAGCAGGGATATCGCACCAGTGGCCCATAGTCAATGGAGATCACGTAGACGTCCTCGTTATGCAGAAGTACGGGGCGGATCATGGAATTGGGTGCAAAATCACGGTAGCCTGTGTAGCCATGGATGAGGATCTTGAGCGGCTTCGGCGGTTGGAAGTCCCAGGGATTGAGGTCCAGGGGATCTAGCAGTATGGGGTTTTCTCGGGTAGAGCTGTCCGTAATTAAAAATGAGATTTTAATTTTATATTCATTAATTGACAATTACAACATGACAAAAGTATGTATAAAAAAAAACATTTTTTTTAACAAATCTATTAAAATATAAAAAGAATATAATCACAAAAAAAAAATTTTTAACCAATCTTTTAAAATATATTTTTAAAAATATTTTACTTACTTCGAGTAGAGCCAGAAGGATACATTTTTATTGGGACATTCTCCACGAACGACTTGGCAGGCGGGATCTATGAGACCCACCAGTGGATTGGCAGTCGCACTCCTCAGTAAAACTGTTTAAGTAGAGTCGAAATAGAGTCCCCTAGTTTTATTTTTTTTTTTGGGTCTTACTTACTCAACAAAGAGAGCCACACCGTCGACTTCATGTCCCAAATACTCGTACTTCTAAGGCCGTGTGTAAACTGGGTTCCGGCCAACGAGAGTGGTTGCTATTTAAGTGGAGCAGTTATCGCCTGGCAGCGATCTTTCTATTGGCAACTGATTGAGCCGGCGGCATACATATGTAAGCACCCACACAGGGGCAAATGGTGGTGTCAAATGGTGGGTTCCATTGGGGCCAAACGAGAACGAAAGTAGCCGAAGTTCGCGTGGTTGGTTACGAAATACATTGCAAACGACTGCCTTAAAAAATACTTTTTTTATATAATAAAATCGTTGAAAACTTTTGATTTCATGCAGATTTTCAAACACTGTTAAAAAAACGAAGTAAATTATGATATGAGAATATTAAAAAAAACAATTACAGTTAAACTAAAGATTTTAAACGAATTTAGTGTTAATATTATTTCAAACAAGAAAGGAAGCTAGCTTCCTTTGCAGATAATTCCTATTAATTTACAAATCGCAAAAATGTTAATTTTCCTATTATATTCCCATTAATTTTCCGATCGTTCCTATGGCAGCTATATGATATAGTCGTCCGATTTAAAAAAAATTTTATTCGAAATTCAGAATTAGATAAAAAATGACATTTCCAAAAGTAGAATGTTATAGGTTCAAAAACACCCAAAATATAATTTTTTTAAATTTTTTTTTCCCGATTGTTCCTATGAGAGCTATATGATATAGTTGTCCGATCCGGCTCGTTCCGACTTATATACTACCTGCAATAAAAAGAAGACTTTTGGGAAAGTTGTATCCCGATAGCTTGAAAACTGAGAGACTAGTTCGCAAAGAAACGGACAGACGGACATGGCTAGATAGACTCGGCTATTGGTGCTGATCAAGAATATATACACTTTATGTGGTCGGAAACGTCTCCTTCACTGCGTTGCAAACATCTGACTGAAATCATAATACCCTCTACAAGGGTATAAAAATTACAGTTAAAACTAAAGATTTTAAACGAATTTAGTGTTAGTATTATTTCTAAAAACAAGAAAGGAAGCTAGCTTCGGCCAGCCGAAGCTTATATACCCTTGCAGATCATTCCTATTAATTAACAAATCGCAAAAATGTTCAATTTTTTAATATTTCTCATTAATTTTCCGATCGTTCCTATGGCAGCTATATGATATAGTCGTCCGATTTTGATTAAATTAAAATTGAAATTCGGAAATATTTAAAAAGAGTCATATCCTAGAGTAGAAGATAATACAATAAAAAGCAAAGAAGCTTGGATTTATTTCCTATTACTTTTCCATTAATTTTCCGATCGTTCCTATGGCAGCTATATGATATAGTAGTCCGATTTTTTAAATAATTTATTCGAAATTCAAAAATATTTAAAAAATAACATCCCCAAAAGTAGAAGGTAATATTTCAAAAAACACCGAAGCTAGAATTTTTTAAAGTTTTTTTTTCCGATTGTTCCTATGGGAGCTATAAGATATAGTTGTCCGATCCGGTCGGCTCCGACATATATACTACCTGCAATAGAAAGAAGACTTTTGCGAAAGTTTCGTCCCGATAGCTCAAAAACTGAGAGACTAGATTGCGTAGAAACAGACAGACGGACAGACGGACAGACGGACGGACAGACGGACAGACGGACATGGCTAGATCGACTCGTCTTGTGATGCTGATCAAGAATATATATACTTTATGGGGTCGGAAACGTCTCCTTCACTGCGTTGCAAACTTCTGACTGAAATCATAATACCCTCTGCAAGGGTATAATAAATATTTTTTATTAGTGTATAAATTGCGTTCCACATTTTTATGGAAAAAGGCGTGAAATCAAAAATTTCTTAAGTAGTTATAAACATTTTCGCGACATCTCTTTTTTAGTTCGCAGTTTGGCTTAAAGTTTAAAGGTAAGAGTATTATTTTTTAAAGCATCAAAAATATTATAAATTCCATTTGTTGATCGCAAAAATCGCATAATTAAAACAAACAAACAAAAAAGTGTAAATTTGCCTAGTTCCCTCAGCGAAGTTAACTTTTCACGGTTGAACTATTTTCCAAATCAGAGAAAGTGAAGTATTAACTAATCCATCGCGTGTACACAAAAACAATCAATAAAACACTTTATTGGCTAATTAGTTAGGCTAATTGTTTATCCAACAAATAAATGAAATTGCGATTATTCAATTAATTTGCAACTTTAAAGTCTACACTTGCATCCACGTCCGTTCGAATGAAACTACTGCTGCAAAATGTGGCTTAAACATTTGCTACACTCCATTTTTATACCCTTGTAGAGGGTATTATAATTTCAGTCAGATGTTTGCAACGCAGTGAAGGAGACGTTTTCGACCACATAAAGTATATATATTCTTGATCAGCATCACTAGACGAGTCGATCTAGCCATGTCCGTCTGTCCGTCTGTCCGTTTCTATGCGAACTAGTCTCTCAGTTTTAAAGATATCGCGATGAAACTTTCCCGAAAGTCTTCTTTCTATTGCAGGTAGTACATATGTCGGAGCGAGCCGAATCGGACCACTATATCTTAAGGCTCCCATAGGAATATTCAAAGATATATAAGAAAATTCATTGTTACTTTGTAGGAAGTAGGCGTTTTAATTCTTGACTCTTTAAAAACAAAATTCAAAAATAGAAACGCTGAATCTGGAATCCCTGGAACTGCACCGAGTGAGCATTACTTTATCTGCAAGGGTATATAAGCTTCGGCTGGCCGAAGGTAGCTTCCTTTCTTGTTATTATGTAATTTCAATTAAAACGCAAATCGGCTGTAAGTATTCAAAAACAAGAGAGAACGTTATAGTCGGGTGCCCCGACTATCAGATACCCGTTACTCAGGTAAAGGGAGTGCGAGGGAGATGGAGATAGAGATAGAAAACTTTGATCACGCATAACTTTTTAACGAATGGTCCGATGTGAAAAATTTCTTCTACATTTCGATAGGTATTGATAAACACAATAAAACTGCATTTTTACTTTTCCAAAATATTAAAATTTTAAAAATCGTATATTAGCGATTATGGGCGTTAGAGGAGGCGTGGCACCATTTTAAAACAAACTTGCGCTGCGTAGGAACTCCAAAAATCTGCATGCAAAATGCCAATCTTCTAGCTTTTATAGTTTCCGAGATCTCAGCGTTCATACAGACAGACAGACGTTACCCTACGAGTAACGGGTATAATAACAGCTTTGGATTTCAAAAATAGCAGTCGGCCTGTGACACGCAGCGTTAACATAATAGGGGTATTCCAAGAAAGAAAGCTGAAAAAGTTTATTTTTCTTTGAGGAACCCCCCTTATGTTTTCACGCAAAGCTCCCCAATCAGGGCTGCTTTGGGGCTTTTCGAACAGCTGAAAAGCTCCCCAATCAGCAATTCCACGGAGAAGGGCACAGCTGTTTTTAAAAATGATAAGTAAAACTAGATTTTCAGCATCATCGCTGATTAGAATCGCCCGTGTCCGCAGCACCTTACATAATGGCCAAGCGAGACACCTGGAAGCAGATGCGCCAGATCTTTGGCCAGGCGGTGGAGGCAGTGCACCCAGAGCGAATATTCGCCGACTACCAAAAGTTTGACTTGCGGGCAGTAGTCGGTGAGAACCCTAGGGAAATCTCCATAAAACTGGATGGAGCAAAGCAGGATATCAGCGGGAAGACCTGCCACATCGTGGGCTTTGGAAAGGCTGTCCTGGGAATGGCCAACAAGGTGCATCAGGATCTGGGCACTCGCTCTGCTGGCGGAGTGCTAAGTGTGCCGGTGAACACCCTAAAGCAGTTCCAACAACCCATTGCAACGGGTTTGCGGATTCACGAGGGAGCAGCCGGAAATCTGCCTGATGAGGCTGCTCTGCAGGCTGCCCAGGAAATCCGTCAGCTGGCCCAGAAGATGACCTACCAGGACATCCTCTTTGTTTTCATCTCTGGCGGCGGTTCGGCTCTCTTGCCCTTGCCCCGTCCACCTTTGACCTTGGAGGACAAGCGCAATATTGCTGATAAACTAATGAAGCGCGGAGCCAGCATCCAGGAGATCAATGCCGTGAGGATTGCCTGTTCGGACATCAAGGGCGGTCGCCTGGCTAGGATTGCCGGCCAGGCGGGTCTCCTTGTGACCTTTGTGCTCAGCGATATTATCGGAGATCCCCTAGAGCTAATAGCGTGTGGTCCCACCATTCAACCGGTGGTTGGAGCGTCCCCTTCGGACATTCTCAAGAAGCATCAGGTGTGGGAGGAGCTCTCACCGTCGATACAAAAGGTGTTTGAGCCGCCAGAGGAACTGGACAATCAATTGCTACCCAATCACAAGATCTTTGTGGTGGGCAGCAATGTGATAGCCACCTCGACAGCCGCCTTGGAGGCCGAAAAACTGGGCTACATTCCCTGCGTGCTCAGTTGTGGCGTTCAGGGGGATGTTTCCCAAGTGGCTGGCGACTATCAGAGGTTACTACATGGCATCCAGGAGGCCAAGCAGCAGGGAATACGAGATGCGCAGCTCCGGGAGAAGTATGCCTTTGGTGAGAGAAGTTTTCCGGGATTCCGAAGGGCCCTGGAAGATCATCTAAGCAGCAAGAAGCCGCTTTTCCTGATCTGCGGAGGCGAGCCAGTCATCAAAGTTTGTAGAATTTATATCCTAAAAGTGTAATTTAATCATTAATTTAATTTTCAACAGGTAACTGGCCAGGGATTGGGTGGCCGCAGTCAGCACCTGGCTTTGCTCATGTCGCAGACTCTGCACCGCGACGAATCCCTGAGGGATTGCACCTTTCTGAGCGCCGGAACCGATGGCATCGATGGACCCACCGATGCAGCCGGTGCCATTGGAGACAGCAGCGTGGTGGAGAGCTACTTAGCCGATCACACCCTGGATGAGCTGGCCGAAACGCTGCGTAACTGCGACAGCTACAACTTCTACAAGAATCTCGCGCAGGGCGAGCACCATGTGCTCACTGGACACACGGGCACCAATGTAATGGATCTGCATTTCCTGGTCGTGCCTTAGTTTTCAACGCCCCCGCCCATAAATACACAGATACATAACATATAACGCATAGATGTGGGGCAGTTCGTTAATGGAGCTGCTCTTGAACCGCAGACGACCGCAGGCAATAGTCGTTTAAATTTGTTTTTACGATTTTCCTCTTTAATTTTGCTCTATGAAATTTTAACGACTTTTTTCATTAACATTTTTAATAACCATTGAAATTCAAATATTTTGTGATCTTTATGCTCTGAGACAGTCTCCGGTTGTGAAATGAAATCAGCCTGGAATTGTCTTGATTGTAATTATGTGGCAGGCGACAGATGTGATAAATCAATTTGTATATGCGATCACCGCAGAGCATAAATATATCTGAGTAATTTCCATTCAATTTCCATTTCTTTTGTACTGCGTCTCATAAAAATGCGCTGCTAATAAATCATCTTAATTGTTCGAAACGAAACGAAACGAAACGCCAAAGGCAAACAGTAGCCAGTAGCCAGCGAGCAACTACAACAATAGCCAGCGATAATTGCAATTAAAAATGTAAATTTATTTGCTTCGCTTTATTTCTATTTTTTATTTTTAGATTTAGCAAAACTGAAAAACTAAAACGCGACGCGCGCCCAGTTGCAATTTAGCAATTTTTACAACCGCTAACACTTTGACTGCATTTTTTTCTAATTGTGATTGTTTTGCCCGCTTCTATCAACGCTTCTTATTGTTTACTTCGTGCGGAGCACAAGTATAATTATTTTGCCGCGCATATGCCACAATTATTAAATAATCACATTCGCCAGTCAGTCACTCTCTTGTGCTATTTTTGCTCGATTAGGTTTGTTATTAACTACATTCAGTACTTTAGAGATGACTAAGTTCTGGTTCCTTTGAAACTATACTATGATAAATCTGAAATCTCTGGCTGCTGCGCACACAAGTCATTTGTCTCTATGATGGATTGTCATCAGATATCAGAGTTTTTTCTATTTTTATTGTAATAAAAATTGTAATCGCCTAATTCTTGTAATGTATATATAGCTAATATGGATTCTAAAAATATGCAAGTACTGCTGAGTTAAAGTGTTAATATAATATTTTTTATATATTTTATAATACGGATAAAAATACATTTCTGTATAAAAATGTAAATATTTATGATTGAATTTATTTGAAACAAAAAATCTATTTAAGAGTCAAGAAGATTACTGCAGAGATTACCAGGAAATGCCATGGACTGCCTTCAATTAAGAGCTCAGCTGCCCACTGGTGGACATGTAGGGCCCACTCGGAGATCCGTGGCCGACGATTAGAATCGTTTCCGTTTCCGCTTTGATGGCACAGATGTCATCAGCTATATTTAACATTTTTATTAGCCACCGACCACCGACCACTGACCACCAGCAGCCAACATCAACTCCCCTCCCACAGATGGATGGAATGTCGCGTCAATTTGTCTGGCCGGGCATGGCAACAATCTCGGCGAGCATCTCATCATGATCATCATCATCTTCGGAGCAGCAGATACAGCAGCAGAAGCATCGGCAAGATGGAGTGCAAGTGTCGCGTTGATTTATTAATTAAGCATTGGAGCGCGGCAGCTGACGACGATGCTAATGAAGTACTCGCTGGAAATTTTAATTAACGATCCCCGATCCGATCGCCATATAGCATAGATTCTTCTTGTGTTCTGTTGACTTATGACATCACACCCAGAAAAGCTGAACACAGTGGAACACCAGCTGCCAGCGATCTCATTGCCAGACAAACTGACGACGCTTATCACAAATGTACTTACAAACAAAAAAAAATATATATATGCTCGAAATCACCAGGGACATTGCGCATACGCCGCGTGGCCCCAAAGCCAACAATTAAACACTGTTCACCGCAAACGCAAACGCAACGCCTCCGGGCGACATACATAAATTTCATTCGCTCGTCTCTGCTCTTAATTTGTCTAGACAATGGCAAAGTTCACTCCGAACAAATATAATATAGGCAAAGTTCAATTAACGCTCGTGTCACATGCCTTAGTTGGGGGCAAATGGATACGAAAAATTCGAGAAAAGACAAGGAACGGAAAGCAATTTGCATTTTGCTGGGAAATCATCTTGACTTAGCCCCATATGAGTCACGTTCGAAGACTTTCGGTTGGAATCTCTTAATTTGAAGCAGATGTGTGGGGGAGATTTTGGGCGACCTTTTGGGCAAACTTTTGTGGCAATGAACTTGACAAAAATGTGGTAATTTTGGGAAGAATGCTTGAAAAACATTCATATTTCTAAGGCAGGAAGAAGCTTAAAAAGATAATTATTTAAAATATAAAAACAAATAAATTTGCAAACCATGTTTAAATTTTTAAAACTTCTTTAAAATATTAAGCCCTTATAAAATCACTTTTTTTTTATGGTAATATACAGGCGATGCTTTTTCCTGAGCTTAGCAATTTTTCAAATTTAAATTCAAAGTAAAGGTTGCAAAGGTAAAAATCGAAAAGCAATGAAAATTTCAATTTGACACGCTTAATAGCCATAAAACATGTTAAAAATTTTAGATACGCTTCAGTCCACATACAATATGTGCTAGAGATGAAGGCTTAAAATATTCTGCTGCTAGAGAAAGGTCCTCAAAAGAGAAAGTGATGAACTGGCTGGTGCTTCTTGTCCTGGGAGCCTTCATAACGATGGTGAAGGGCGCAAACGAGCCCTATGTGTGCGATGGAAAGGACGACAGAGTTTGTGATGAGTACCGCTGCATATGCCGACGAAGGACAACGGAACGGTATCCACACACGGATTATGAATTTTGAACAGAAAATTAAATATAATATGCCACTATAATTCCATCGCTGGGGTTAAATCTCCTTCGACCTTGATTTCCTTTGGGGGTCCTGGATTCTGAATTAAATTTAGCTTGGGATCATTGAGCAGCTTACGTGCAAGATACAGGAAAGGCTTTTCCAAATTAAAGTTCAATTTCACTGATATTTCATAGTTGACCAAGTTCAGCTTCCGGCCGAAAAACGACTGATTGTTCCGCATCCTTCGGTCATCCATTATCACCATGTCCCGGTTTTTGCAGATTACCACCGGGATTTGGCTGCAGATGCGCATCAGGTCGCGGTGCCACTTTTCACAAATGGCAAACGATTTCCTCGAGTTCAGACCGAACATAATAATTGCGCAGTCAGCTTGGATGCAGTATCCATCGCCCAGGCCAGCCAACATTTCCTGACCAGCGATGTCCCAGACCATAAAGTGAATATCTCCGCGGTTCGTGCGAAAGGTCAAAGGGGTCAGATCCACCCCCACTGTGGGCTCGTACTTTTCCGGGTATGATCCATCTAGAAGTCGCCCTATAAATGCCGTTTTTCCTACCGCCGCATCGCCCAAAAGGACCAGTTTATAAACTTTCATCGTAATTTTCTAATGTGAATCATTCAAAATTTATCTAGTATCCAGAATTCGAATAAGAGTATTTTTGATCGTTTAGAAAATTAAAGCTCGGCTTGCTTTATGACACAAACCATAATCAACATTTTTTTTAAATAGTTAATTTTTTATAAATGTTTTAATTTGGGATAATATTTTTATAAACCTTCTCAAAGAATTAAAACGACTATAAAAATATATTAAATACTAGAGGTTTAGTTATGTCAATTTATAAGCCAGAAATGCATTTTGCTCAAAAGTAGTAATTAAAAAAGTTTCTCTTCTAAACAATCAACAAAAAACTGTAAAAATAAAAATTTTTAATAAAAACTATCTTACAATACAATTAATTTTAAAAGGTTTTTCTTTTAGCTTTTAGCTTCCCATAAACCTTTTTTCGATCTTGCAACATTTGGGTACTGATGTTCATCGCAGCAATTATGTCTAACCGATGTTGGCATTAATAATTTCGGCCTGCTACTTGCCATTTATCAAAAGCATTGATCTCCCCCATATGCCGAATGGGCAGCTTAATGTCAATCGCCTCTTTTTCAAGCTCTGGGTTTCTTTTTTTTTTGTTTTTTTTTTGCCCCCTGAGCTCTGGACCATTAATGCATTACAAATAGGTGCGGCAGACCGCAACAGCAACATGGGGCAAAGGGACTTGGCCACAGACGCTTCGGTGCCGTTGACCAACGTGACTGAGATTGAGATTGAGGACTGCATCTCGCTCTGGCTACCTGAAAAGAAAAGAAAAAAAATCAGGCAGCAGACGACCTCAAGTGTACGGCAGCGCAATCGAGTTGCTGGTGCAGCAGCAACATGCAACATCCATAGTCCAGAAGCAGTTCAAGTTTGCGCCGAGGAATTCCTTGCCGCTGAAATAATTAAGCATTGCAACATTGTTTATTGTTGCTGTTGCTGCTGTTGTTGCTGTTGGGTGTTGCAGGCTCGTTTAACAAGGCAGCCAAGTTCTCAACAAGTGCCTCCTCCTGTTCTACAAGTTTTTGCCTCTCCACTCGGATTTTTTTTCATTTTTTTCTGCGGCTGCTGTTGGTGCCACTCTAAGGAATTTCCATTTTATTTACATTTAGAATGTGCCGAACGGACTCGTCGCATGTAAAGCGGGCCAAATCGAAAGCTATTAGACCTATTAGCATATCGGGCTGGAACATGGAAAATTTAGTGGCAACATTGTTGCCGTCGCGATAAACGCACTAAAAAACCGAGTCTCCGCTTTTATTACCGCATCAAAATGCCATAATTCCGCAGACCGAAAAAGAATAGGAAGCGATCGTTACTTATGTATTGAGAAATAAATGTAGAAAATGCCAATCGATTGGCGTTCAATTTACGGCGTTTACCTGATTGTTGTGGCCAGCCCACAGTTAACTTAATTGCCACTTCCCAAGCGCTTTATTTACGGAAATGCTGGCCGTCAAGCGACACTATTTACACTTAGAAAAATTATTGATTAACTTGTACAAATATTGGAGAAGAACGGTCGATTTTTCTAAAAGCTCAAGAAATTCAAACATGTTGGTCTAAACCCAAAGGATTAATTTGCTATTTAACAGATATCCTGTAAACTGAGATAATGAAGAATATATCTTTCCAAAACCCTAAATCCAATTGTTAAATACTAAAGAATTTCATTGAATTTTTTAAAGAATATTTTTAGGTAAAATTTAGACTGATGTAAGATCCATATTATTATTATAATAATCGGAACTATCTTTCCACATCTGAGTTTTTCTGGGTGCATAGACTGTGTGAAAGTGTTGTCAATGCTACCGCTTGGCCATAGCCTACAATCGCGATCTGGTGATCGAGTTGGAAAGGAAAATAGCAAGAAATAATAATAACAACAACTAAAATTTTCCATAACCTCAAAAAAAAGAGTAAAAAAAATATAAAAAAAATGCGGCGGCTATTTATAAAATGCGCAATCTGCGAGATGCGTGCGCCTATCTGTCCGTCGGTTTGTCGATGCCGCCAGCTGTGTGCCAACACCCCCTGCCCCCCTTTTTGGAGCCCCTTTGGAGCCCCCTCTATAACCCCCCTGCACTAGGTTGTCTGCGTTTATTGATTTATTAGAAAATTCCAATGAACAAGTTTTAATACACGACACACGGCGAACGATGAAGTCGATGTTGTCAGCATGCTTGTTGTGCTTTTTCTGCTCCTTGCCGCGTTGCTTTGTTGCACTTGTTGTATTCCTGTGTGTTGCAAAGACAATGCGGGGAAGAAAGGCTGCGGAAAAGAGACGGGGAGACTCGGGCAGCAGCTGGAAAAAGTAACAAGTGCAATATTTTAATTACGCTACAGCAACAGCAACGATGACTAGAAGATCAGCGGCATCAATTAAGTTTGCAGCATGGATTTGGGCAGCCAGCGTTGCCAGATTGATGTAACCCATTGCGTATGATTGATATTGCAAATATCTATGACACATATAAACATTTATAAAAAATTTTTTTCGCTTAAAATAAATCTGGATTTAGTTACTCAAAGCTTGTATGTTTTTATGATGAAGGAAATATTTCTATATTACTTTTTTTTAAACCTTATACATTTTTTTAAATAAAAAAAAACTTGTAACAAAGATCAAAACTATTGTATTTATTTTAATTACATCCCATCAAGTCTGACTCAGTTAAACTCTCACTTAGCCATATCTCAACTCGATCTAGTTCCAATAGCTATTACTACAAGCAATACGGCAACGCCGATCGACTCAAAAGATTGTCTATTTCCAACTCTAAGCATTTTGCAATCAATTTAGATTTGCATTAGCATTCGCTGCAGTCTCAAGAAGTCGGAGTCCGAGATTTGGAGCCAAAAATAAACCGAACCAGTTGGCCTGTTCGCAGCGCCGAAAAGTCAAATGTGTAACAGCTTTAAAGAGCTGAAGAGCGGGCCAAAGAAAGTCGAGATCGCCGAGCGGAGACAGAAGACTAAAGACTGAGAAGACTGAGGACTGTGTAGATTGTGGAAGACTGGAGACTGTGAACCGAAGACGGCGACTGAGAGAGTTGAAATATTGTAATTGTGAGTCTGGCTTGTTTGTTATTGTTGCCTTAGCGGTTGCTTGTTGTTTTTTTGGCTTGATTAATAATTAATCGCACTCGCACACATATACGTATATCTGCATATGTATATATATATCGCTGGTTTTAATTACTCAACTTAAATGGCGCTTTGAGCGACTTAAGCAACTTGCTTTTGTGTATGCGATCGACTCTCACTACTACGAGCTCAAAACTAACTAACTAGCTGCTGGTTTGTTTTTGTAGTTGCTGCTGGGCCGCCGATGTTGCTGCCGTGCTGTTGCTGTTGCTGCTGTTGCTGCTGTGCTTTGCTTTTGCTTTGCTTTGATGTTGTTGCTGCTGCTCGGCTCTGCTCCGTCTACGGATCGCTTTTGCCTGCCTGTTTGCCTTGCCTCGGCCGCTTTGGACGCTCATTCAGTTTTTTGCGCTCAACGCTCGTTGTACGGAACCGAAAAACGCGTTCGTTACGTTTCGTGTAGAGTGTCGCCAAATCGCCAACGAAAATCGCTTATTACAACCGAATATATACAGCCTCTAATCACTATTTTTCTGCTTCTGTAATCGTTTCGCGGTTTATTAAAAAATAAGAGTTAAACGCTGATAGTCTCGCCCGAAGAACGGAACAGAAAAAATCTGGAAAAAAACAGAAATATCTCTCAAAGTTCTCTCGTTTCCGCGATCGCTCGCTTAAGTCTCTCCGATTTTCTGATACCGATACCGATTCGGTATCAAATAAATAGGTATATTTGTGCCTGTGTGTGTGTGTGTTAGTGAGTGATGTGTCTCTGTGTGTCAAATCCAAATCCAAAATAGCCAAAATCTCAGCTTGGCCACTATCTATCACTATCATCAGCATCTCAAGCAGCATCAGCAAACATGTGAAGTGCCAGTGATTTCCATAAGCTCAAATCGAAATCGAAGCCACTGAAAGAGAGATATAGATAGGTCGAAATATCTGAGTGGATATCGGAGTCGAACCAGTGTATAATGTATGCAACGTTCGCGAACTGCCAGAATTGGTTGTTGTTGCAGTTGCAGCCAAAGGATTTGTGGATTTTGGAGCGTAACTGAGCGGCGTGCAGCAGGTGCACCAGGTAAGCTAAATTTAAACGTTTCTAGCTTATAATGCGCATACGCCATGGTGGCTGCGTGTCCAATGCGAGATCAATCGAATCAGTTGAACGTCTGGCAAAACAGCTGACCGGGAAAACTGGAACTGGGTGCAATATCTGAACCATTTACATATAGAAACGTTTATGGACAGCTTATACAATTTATAGAAACTGTATAAATCTGGAAGTATTAGATTTATTACTAAATTTCGCAATAAAAAAGACTAAAAATTCGACTATAGGAAAAAACAATATGTCTTATAATTAATATTTCGTTCTGTTAAACTACAAATGATTGTAAAATTCCCATTCATTGACAAAACAACCGCAAGAACATTTGAACATTTTTTCCGTGTAAAACCAGGCTTAGACAAGAATTTCAAAGCAAAAAAAAAATGGAAAAAAAAACACAAAAAAATTTTTCCTAAAACGGATAAAATTATTAAAAGTAACAAATATTTATGTATGAAAAGTAAAGAATTTAAATTAAAATGTTTAGTAGTGTCAAATATTCTTTAGATCTTCTTCTTCATTATTATGTATAAATTTGGATATCTAAAATTTGGCTGATTTACTCTAAAAATATAGAGACAATTATTTCGTTTGTTAGATCATTGTTTTGAAAAACTAGGAAGTCAAGGGTTGATTATCAGGGAACGTAACTGTTATAAGTTTTATTTTAAAAATCACACTTTAACAGCTATTTTCTGATTTGTAAAGTAAAACTCAAAGAATAACTGTTATTTTTTGAGTTTTATAATAAAAGTTGACAAATAACAGTTATTCGTCGTGATCAAAAATAAAACTCAAACTTGATTTATGG